CATTTGCCGACTAACTAGTCTAAAAGGGTCCAATTTGCCGACTAAGGGTCCAATTTGCCGTCTAAAAATCATTGATGGGGGGGGGGTGTCTTTACCCCACACCCCCCTATCGCGCCGGCCTTGCGTATTAGTTGCATATTTTTTTGCGTATTAGTTGCATATTTTTTTGCTATCGAATATTTCTCCATAAAAAATTTCCTAGTATTAAACCAAGATGCTTAAAAACGTTAACCAGAGCTGATAATATATGTTTGGAAAAAAAATATATATTTTTTTCGTTTTTTCATAAAGTTTTTGAAGTTAAAAATTTCGACAATTTGATTAAATGCTTCATTAGCATTTTGGTTTATGGTTTTTAAGTTTCGCAAAAAAAGCACATCAGTACCAAAATCATTGAGAATTTTCATTTCCTTTTTTCATAATTTTAGGAATCAATTTAGTATTTAATGTGCAATAGTGCTGCTAAAATCAATTTCTTTACGGGATAAAATTTTCCAAGTTTTGTCTGGTTGACAAACCAAAATAGTTTTGCATTTCGTCAATGAGATTATTGCTTTAGTTGCCACTAATCTTTTTTCCTTTCATCCACTGATTCATTCCACTTCATACACTGGTTCATTCTATTGGTTCATTGCACTAGTTCATTTCACTTTATCCACTAAATAACTTCACTTCATCAATTGATCTTTTTTTCGAATCATTTTATTTTAATAAACAGTATTTTATATAAGCGTTTCATATATATATAAACACGAAAAAATTAGAACTTAAAAAACAACTTTGAAAAGTTCTAAATAAATATTATTAACAAAATTATTTAAAACTCTCCAGAAACATAAATTTTGTTTAACACCCGTATTTACTCATTATCTATGTGACCTTTTCGATTTTTTTATCAACTAGGTGGCCTTTTTTATGTCTCTAAGAGCTCTTTTTCTCTTTTTTTTTCCCATTTTTGATGCGCCTCATTGGCTAATTTTTATTTTCAGAAGTTAATGTTGCAGTAGTTGTTGAATACCTGAAAACGAATAAAAAATTAAAAAAATAAACACTTTGACTCTGGTTATCGTAAATTCTTAATAAATGATAGAATTAAATACTTTATCGAAATAAAGTACTTAATTCTATCATTTATTAAGAATTTACAATTTTAAGTCTATATGTATTTTAATTTAGAACCCTGTACTTTCGATATTTTCTACTAATACAATACTGGTGGCGCGTGTAGAAACCAGATAAATAATTGAAGTAGAAGAGTGTAGCTTAAACTGTTTTCTTCATTGAATACAAGTTTGCTAGCTTAGATCTAATTATAACGCCATAGAAGTTTTGCATTAACTTGATGCAGTTTTTATTAAGTTCATCTCTTCCTGATATTGTTTTTTAGTACTTTATACAAGATTTAAGAAAACATATTCTTATGCTATCTTACCCTATGGTTTTTGAATATATCTAATTTTTATTTACTATTTTTATTCAAAAAATTAGTAAAAAAGTTTTAATATAATTTTTTTTTTTCATTATTATCACTAAACAATTTATCGATTCGTGTCGATTTTTAATCTCTCTGATCTAAATAATTCGTTGAGTCGAACCTCACTAATCTAAATCAATTATCAAATCGAATCTTAGTAATTTAAACAATTTATCGAATTGAATCTCAGTAGTAAACTATTTGTTAAATATTTTTAAACTTTTAGATCAAATTCATAATGGAAGTTCTACTGAAGACCTTCCACCTCTCTCTCCGCGAAAACTACGAGTACCAGAAGAGATTTCTTTATGCATTTCAAGTATTCCAGGCGAAAAATTTGGTGCTTGCGCAGCAAAACGGATTCCGCATGGGACCTGGTTTGGACCTTTTGAAGGAAAACTAGTTCGAACTTCTGAACTAAAAGTTGGGTTTAATACAGAATACATGTGGGAAGTAAGTTTCATAAATTGAAACTTTTTAAGTTATTTTTTGGTGAAAAAAACTTGTTGCTTAAAAATGATTTTTTTTTTTTAATGTTTAAAACTTTTTGTTTTAAAAAACATTTTAGATATACCACGACGGGGAAGTAAGTCACTTTTTAGATGGTAACAACGAAAATACGTGGATGGCTTTTGTTCGATGCGCTCGTCATAAAAAGGAACAAAATCTTGTAGTTTTTCAATACCATGGATGTATATATTACCGAACAACTAAAGATATTGGTCCAAGGGGAGAACTGTTAGTTTGGTATGATAACAAATATACGCAAATTCTCGGAATACCGGTTGCCTGGAATGATAGCAGAAGTAACTTTTTTTTTATTATTCATTGTTTTTTCTCATTTTTTTAACGGTTTTTTAAATAATTTACATTAATAATGATGATGTGTTTATAAACAAAACAAAAAAAAATTATTCATGAGTTAAAACAATTTGTGAAAATAACAACATTTATTTTTCAGATACAAATGGAAAAAGAAAAACGTCAACATGTGAAGAAAGCCCAAAAAGAAGGAAAGAAAAACCATATCCCGGGCTTTTGTTACAAAAAACTGATTCCAAGTTAAATTCTCCAAATGAAAAATGCACCAACTTATCATCCCCATTATGGCTAAAAAAATCTTCTCCGATTTCAACGGCACCAGTTACATTTAAATGCGAAAAATGTTTATTTTCTTTTTACACTAAAGAGCAACTGGCAAATCATAAGTGTCTTAGCCAGTCTTGGATTCCAACGCTACGTTTACCTTCTTTAGACCGAGCACGCGATATTTATCGACCAATGCATATAAATATGCCGTCTCCCAACGATTTAACATACTTTTATCGCCATCATCATTCTTTTTCACCTAGCCAAAACTTTAGTTATCATTCACCTCCTATGGACCCTTTAAAACAACTACCTTCAGCTGCCCACAAAGGTGCTCCAATAGCTATAAGAAACTTTTAAATAAATAAAAAAATTGACAATCACCTCCATATACGTAAAATAGAAGATATTTTCAAACTTTATAAAAAAGTTATAGTTATTTTTTGCATTAATTTTTGTATTTAGAATTTTATTTATATATTTATAAATTGTTTATACTGTTTTTTAACTTTTCTTTACATATACGATTAAACATACACAGACACACAACAGCTAATGTAGCTAAAATAGCAAAATCTACATGCTAAAAGCCCACCTTCCCCTCCCAAAAACAAAAAAGGAAAGTCGGAATTTTGTTTTGTAGTTTCTTGTTATCTCTCCAACCAGTTGCAGTCAGAATGTCTGCCAGCAACTCCCATTTAATTTATGTAATAGCATACTATGCAAAAGTACCGTGGGAGACAACAAGCAGAACTCGAAACAATATTGCAGTATTTCATACCAATGAAAGCGTAGTTCTAATAGATTAGGCTAACGTGAAGAGTTTTCTATGAAGTTATTAAATAAAAAATTATTATGGAAACAACTCTGATATTATTTATCATTTTATTTCTATTACACAGCAAAATCCAAAATTCTTGTTTTAAGCAAAAAGTCTTAAAACAAGAAAAAAATGACTTGTCCGCCACGTAAGTATATTTTTTCTTGTTTCAAGAACTTTTATTCTTAAAATAAGAATTTTTTTTTCTTGTTTTAAGAACTTTTTTTTTTAAATATTTTTTTTTTCTTGTTTTAAGAATTTTTATTCTTAAAGCAAGAATTTTTATTCTCAAAACAAGAATTTTTTTATATATAAATATTAATATTTTTTATATATATAATATTTATATATAAATTCTTAAAACAAGAACTTTTTTTCTTGTTTCAAGAATTTTTATTTTTAAAACAAGAATTTTTTTCTTGTTTCAAGAATTTATATTCTTAAAATAAGATTTTTTTTTTCTTATTTCAAGAACTTATATTCTTAAAATTATGTATTTTTTTTTTGTTTCAAAAATTTATATTCCTTTAAAAAAATCATTTTTTACATGTTTCAATGTTATTTTTATTTAAATTAAGATTCTATTTTTTTGTTTCAATAATATTTCTCCTGAACTATAAAGCAATATTACAAAAGTATGGAAAAAATATGGAAAAAATGAAACATTATTTTGAAATTAGGATGATATATAATAAGAATATTCAAAAAGCATTTACACATTTAAACAACAAATCTAATCGTTGAAATAACAAATTGTTCTTTGGAATGTTTTATTATTGTTCATGCTTTTTCATAAAATAATCTTTTGCCACACATAAAAATCACTTCGTCTCCATATTACCGATGGTTCTTCCATTTAGTGATTTTTAAATAATCTGAAAGCCTTTTTGAATGTCGTCTGTTTTGTACAGATAAGGATTTTTTAAATCTAAAAATAAATTTTACAAACTCAAAATTTATAGTTCTTTTAAAGGAGGGAGGGGATAAAAAATTTGTAAAATATATAAGTTTTTCCCTAATAATTGTAGTTTAATAATTTTTTTTGAAGAGCCTAGGCCGCCTGGCCCCCCGGTTGTTACGGCTCTGATATATATATATATATATATATATATATATATATATATATATATATATATATATATATATATATATATATATATATATATATATATATATATATATATATATATATATATATATATATGTATATATATATATATATATATATATATATATATATATATATATATATATATATATATATATATATATATATACATATATTATATATATATATATATATATATATATATATATATATATATATATATATATATATATATATATATATATATATATATATACATATATATATTTAAGTGTTTTCAAAAAAATCATAACAGCTTTTTCTAAAACAATATGTCCAGTTTTAGTCTTTTGAAAGTAATTGCAGCAAGTACTTTATTAAGTGTTTAACTTTAGTATCTAAAAACACATTCCTTATTTAATTATTAATTGATTTTAATACATTATTGAACCTAACTCTAACCCTAACCAAGCAAAAACATAAAAATGCCTGAGGTTGGCAATTTTTTGCTGACCTCGTTTTTATCTTTTATAGGAAAACCTTTGTAAAAATGGCTTTATGTTTGCCGATTGTAATCTAAAACAGTTTAAGGTCAAAAATTTATTACTCACTTTAGTTTTACTAAGTTTGTATGTGTATGCATGCATACTTACCTGTATTTGGGTGGCAGTGGGTAAGGAACTGCCAACTTGTGTATCCAACTTGTGTATTCCATAATGCAAAAGTGTATCAATGTCTTCATTCTTGCTGAGTGAACTGTGACAGAAGACTTTAATACATGAGCTATGTCGCCAACAATCTGAATTAAATAATAATAATAAAAAAAGCATACAACTTTATAAAACAGAGAAAACTTATAGAATAACCCATTAGGGGACATGGCAGTTTTGAAAATACCTTCTCACTTAAAAAAGGAATTTGTGATTTTGAAACACTATTACATTTTATCCAATAAATACATGAAATCACGAATGAAAAAAAAAATCTTACTTATAGCGCATTAGGGAAACATTGGTATTTCTCTAAAAATGCTGCAACTCTATCAACTCTTTTAACTGGAAATTTAATTACCCAGGTTAATAAATTAAAATTCTATACTTAGATTAATTAAAAAAAGGATAAAAAAATGTAAAAAATAAAATTAATTAATAATACTAAATTTACTAATTGAAAAGTATTGTTTTCTTTACTTACTTTACTTTGTATGTATTTGGAAACTTGCAATTGCTTAAAAGAAAACACACACACACATATATGGCATATATGTGTATGTATGCAACATACACATGGATATTTAGAAATAGCACTAATACTAATCTTAAGTAAAAACCAATTATATAATAATAGCAATAGCAATATTAAAACAATTACAACGAGGTAATTATTTTTATATTAATATAATAATAACAATAATAATAGTAATAACAATATTGATAAATATTAAATTTAATATCAAACAATAACAGTAGAGATATGAATAGAAGTAAAATAATGCTGATATTTATATTACATATAATCATACCAAAAGTAGGTATGTGACATGAAATTTTTAAATTTAAAAAATATTATATTGTTATATATCGTTAAAAAGAGCATTAATACAGCATTTCAACGGTGAAAAAATTATCAAAATTGAACAATTCAAAAAAAAGTTATGAGGTTTTTAGTGATAATTTTTGAATATATGAAGTTGTTAAAGAAACTGTGGTCAAAATAATTTTTTTTGTATCGAAAATTATTATAACTATGCAAATTCTTGTTGAAATTTCTATAATTTGGTATCAAAAGAAAGATGTAAGAGTGGGCTACAATTTTATAGTAGAATCTAGCTATAGGGCGTGAGTGGACGGCTAGAGGGGGCCCCGAACTACGACTTTTACCACCAAAAAATTGAATATTTTATCATAAAAAAGTATTTTAATACTGAAAATTGTCTTTTTTTATCAAACAGAAGTTCCAATATTTTGATCCCAGCTCACCACCATATATGAGATGTGTACCTTTGAGTTAGGGGTGGATGTGGTGGTGCTTGTTTAACACGTACTATTAACAAAAATAATTCCATTTTTAAAAATAATATTATCTCCAGTTAAATAAGTAATCTAGAACAAAAAATAAAATTTAAGTTTCACTAACCACTAGTTGTACTTTACAACTAGTGGTTAGTGGTGTATAACTCAAGTCAAGGTGAGGGGCGTACGCCCGCGCAGCACCCCCTCCCCCAATCTCCTTCCAAACTAAAAAAAAAATAAAAATACTTTACTACATTACAACTTGTTAGTATGGTATACTTTTACTTGAGAGGTAAGGGCGTGCGCCCGCCCCGCCCCCCCCTCCCTCCTAATTTTTTTTTGTCAATTTTTATCATTTAAAAAAAGAAAAATTTGTTTACATTTTCAAACGTCAAAAATTAGTATAAACAGACATTTTACCACTTTACAAAAAGCAAATGTTTATCCAGTTTCACATAGGAAAGAGAAAGTGCCCCTCCAATCTAAAAATTTTTTTTTAACTTTAAATTGAAAAATATGGTTAAAAATAAACAAAAATTTTAACACTTTAATTTTTAATACAAGATGTGTAAGAGTATTTAAATTCTTAGGCAAAAGGCTGTTTGATTCTTTAACATCTAACCTAAAAAACATGTTTTAAAAATACAATACTTAAAATTATGTAATTTAGTGTAAACAAAATACCCATTGTAATTAATTAGTATCTTGGCTTTTAGTAAACAATTTGAAATTCCACTAATGAAACAAAATTTTAATCATTTTTTAACGATAGGCATCACAAGAAGGTAAGCCAGAGCTGTCTATCAATAATTTTTGCAAGTCACAACACTTCTGTACCAATTTTAAAAGTCACAATACTTGCGATACTTTTCAAATATTAAGACTTTTCAAGTTCTAACATTTGCAGTATCTATTTTGGACTTACCTTTTAATTATGAAAACAATACATATTAACATTAAAAACAAATAATACACATTAACATTAAAAAAAAATTCTCCTGATACAACATCTGAGGCCAGCTGGAATTTTTTCATGCAATAATCACCAGCTCCAGAATCAGATTCATCTTTTTTCCAGTAAGAGATAGTGCAAATTTTGTCATGCAATCTTTTTTTTTTACTTTTTATACTCTGCCATCGTATACTTAGATTGTTCAATATCATACCATTCATGATATAGTTTTCTACTAACAATTCTGTCAGACATAACATCATCTAAATCATCCAGTTGCTTTGTAGACAATTGTTTATAAAAATTCTTAATCTGGCTGAAAGTCATTAACTTAAGTTTTTGTTATAACTTCTTTTTATCTTGTTCATCCAACATTTGATGCGTGCATGTCTGTCTCTTATATAATACAGATCGAATTTGAGCATGTTGTAGAAAATGGACCATTAACTACATTTTCTTACTTAGTTAGTAATCTAAACTATTAAGATAATAAATAGTCCTATTCTTTTTTCATCTTATTTTGCAAGAAATATTGCATTAGGGGATCTTCCTTTACATTCAAGAATTATATAAAATTGTTGTATTAGGGAATCTTCCTTTAGATTCACTAAACATACCAATTAACTCTTCACTATCTATATTGTGAAACCTTGCACTAGCTGTTTCCTGCTTGAGTGTCTCTGTAATGAAAAAGGAGAAGTACCTTTTACATTGTCTAATCAATACATCTTTTACTGCATTAAGACAAGCTGAAGTCATGTTAATAACCTGGTCATCAATGCAGCATTAATATGTCATTGGTTCAAAAACATTTGAGGGAAGTAAAAAATCTGTTGCTCTGCAAAACAGTGCAGCCGGATTAGATTTGCAAACATTAACTGTTTCCAAAATGTTTTTTACAATCTGAATACCGGTGAGATGATCAAAATTTGCATCCTCAGCTGATACATAAAACTTTGTCATCCACGGACCACTTAGCAGTTTCCCAAATACACCAAGCACACACATTTTTTTAAAGTGGTAGCATTACAAAATGCTTCTTGCAGAGCTGCTTGCAAACTGCCACATTTGACTGTTCTAGTGATCAGAAAATTTAGAAAATTGGTATAGTGTTTAATAAATATATGACAAGTATTAAAAAGAAAATATGAAGGCGGTTTCCTCGATTTCTACGTAGTTTTTTGTGGTCTTAAAAAGTAACAAATCCCTCTGGATCGCTTTCACCGTCTTTAAACCTCATCTTATTCATAGCCAAATCAATTTTGACAGCTAAATAATCATTGCCAAATAATTCAACTTTTCTGTCTCTAGACACATCAATGCTGAGCGACATTCAGTAGCAATTGTATCAAGAGGGTGCAAATAAAAATTCAATTAATTCAGAGTTTTACCCCAAGTTGCACTAACTTTGCTTATGGTTAGATGGTTAACTGCAACTCTGTCAAGGCATTTATCTTTGGATGTAAGATATCCAGAGCAATAACAAGGCATTTATCTTTGGACGTAAGGTGGGCTATCAATAATTCTCACTTACTACGTAAGCTGAGAATTATTGATAGCCCATTCTGCTGCTTGTAATTCTGATATACTTCTTAATTCATGAGCCATTTGCTCAACAGTACTGTGATGGGGTACATTATTAATAACCACACTAAAATACTGCATAATTTCCTCTAACAAAAATGGAATATTACCTGTTAGCACATTTGATAACATGCTAAAATTTTTATCCTAATGTTTAAAGGAAAACACTTTTCAGTTTCAGACATAACAGGAATTATAAAGACATTTTTTTTTAAATTCCTTGCTTGAAACAGAAAAACTACAAAAATTTTTAAATACAAATGTCACGATTATAGTCATAAAAACCTTACTAGATATGGTAATATCCAAAGATTTTCAAAATCTTTCTGAGATTGTTTTGTTTACAAAAATGAATTTTTTGTTTACAAAAATCAATCTGAGATTGATTGATGAGATTAACAATGATTGTTAAACAAATATCTGCTTTTATCTAAAGGAATATTAAGAATATAAAAGAATATTATTAGGAATATAAAAGAATATAAAATTTTATCTAAAAGAATATGAAGAATATGAAAGAATATATTAAGAATATAAAAGAATATAAAAGAATATTATTTTATCTAAAAGAATATTAAAGAATAAACCATAATATAGTGTATTTATATTATATACATAAATTATGATTGAATAATAAAAATAAAACAATGAAATTATTAAAATAACGTCAGCAATAATAATGACAGTATTATTATTACTGTTATTGTTATATACATAGTATGTAGATTCCGACTTTCTCCCCCAACCACAACAACACCCATCGCGAATTTGTGAAAACAAAATTTAGGTACCAAAACTGCTACACTTTTTAAATTATCTGCTACATATTATTTTTTCTTGAAATTTGGCAGATGAATAAATAAAAGATGTAAAAAAATGTTTCAGTAGTTTTGCAAAATGTCTCAGCGTTCCATCAATACAAATTTCACGTGACAACATCAAGTAAATTTTCAATATCTATAAAGTCAACAAAAAGTAAATCATCCATACATAATTGATTCATAAAAATATAGATCTAAGTCTCTTCTTTTCAAAAATAATCTATGTTGATATACTTTTCTAAAAAGAAACACCACAACAAAACGTTTGTCTGACGCTACCTCAGAAAAAATTCAAAAAACGTGGCACAGAATTTTAGCACAAAATTCTATTCCGTAAAACGACTATTTCCGCATACCTACCAAAAGCAATAATAATAACCCACAAAGAGCGTAGCATTTTACAAACAGTAATTACATTTCTCCAAAATAAAAAGACATAAAGATGAGTTTTAGTAGTAAAGTCTAGTGATATAAAGTGAATATAAAAAATAAATTATTCTATGAATAAAAAATGATAAATTATTTCATGATTTTATGCATTGGTTTGTGATGTGATTAATTATGTTGTACTTAACTGAACAATGATTTAGAATATATTTTTTAATATTTATTTTATTATATAATTTAAGGTTGCTAAAAGATGGAAGATAATATTGAGAATTTTTTATAGAACTAAAGAAATTACAGATTGAAAGAGGTAGGGTAACTTGTGTGTGATTTCAGACAAATAAACAATTTAATAGATAAACAAGAGTACACAATTTGATAATTTTGGATAGAAAGAAAAGAATATTAGAATTAGAGTGATATTCTTGAAAGTAAATTATTTTAAATGTCTTGTTTTTAGATTAGATATTCATAAAAAATTATTGGTTCATAAATTATAAGTATATATAATATATCATATTAGAGTGTTTGTAGCATGTTTGAGAAATAAAATTTATATTAAAACTTTTTGTAACTTCGCTTTTGATAGACATTATTGGCACTACTGAATTTCTGATTCAGATAATTCTGATTCTTTGCGACCTTTATAAGTCATAACATTTATGCTTTTTCAAGTTTACATCTGGCCGATAAAATACTTTTTTGTCGGCCATAAAGTTTTTCCGGACTGTTGTGGATCATATGTTCATAATTTTAATTCAGAAATGGAACATGTTTATGTAAAACATACTTCGGATCTAGCGAGAGCGCCAAAAGACGTACTACGGAGCAGAAAGTTTAAATCCAAATAAAACATCTTGAAGTTCTTTTTTACCTAAAAATTTTTTAAATAAAATAAATATTTTTAAATTCTACTGTTACGTCAGAAAAGTTCTGATGGGCTAAAAAATTATTAAATGCTGAAAATCAGGGAGCTCCAAAATATTTGGGGACCCTAGGCCCGGGCCTTACGTGCCTTGTGGAAGATCAGGCCCTGCTTGCACCTTACACTTTTATTATTCTGCTACTACGTCGCCCATACATAAGATTCACATTTATACTGTTTAGATTTATGCAGATTCGCAGATATGAATATTGCATTTATTAAAGGCGAATTCTATAAAATTCTCGCAGTATACGACTCTTTTTGGTTTTTATTTTAGTCTTAATTTTACCTGCAGGTATTTATTGATATATATATATATATATATATATATATATATATATATATATATATATATATATATATATATATACATATATATATATATATATATATATATATATATATATATATATATATATATATATATATATATATATATATATATATATATATATATATATATATATATATATATATATATATATATATATATATATATATATATATATATATATACACACACACACACACAAACATTCTTTGTATATAATATGTATACAAATGTAACAATATTATAAAATTAGGAAAAATGTTTTTTATTGAAATATCTTTAAATAAGAATGGAAATCTAAAATAAGAATCAAGTTCTTAAGATAAAAACAAAAGTTCTTAACCTAGAATCTTGGATTTTGCTGTGTATGATTTATAGTGAAAATTAAGTAGTATTAAAGTTATTTTAATAATAATATTAATAGTAACTGATATTAGAGTTGACTTAAACTAAATCTTTCTTCATATTCATTATTGTAAACATAAAAAAAAAAAAATTCGATTAAAGTGAAATAAAAGACAAGCTAAAGGAAAATGAAAACTAATGTCATTTTTTTAGAACCATTTTTGTAATAAATCAATTAAAAACACTTAAAAAATTTATAACTGCAGGAATAATTTTCATCCCCATATGCTAAATGAAATGCACTCTTCAATTTTAACTCCAATTTCAATCATTTTTTGCAAATCTTTTTGCTCAAATTCAGTTCCAAACAGCTGGAAGTTAGCTAATATTACATCTATCAACAAAAAAGGTCAAAAAACTAACTCTGAAAACTACCGCACAATCTCAATTATATGCAAAATAATTAAACAACTTGTTAGAGATACAATGCTTAAACATTTACTTTCAAAAAATCTTCTTGACGCAAACCAACATGGTTTTACACCTAGTAAGTCTTGTTTAACCAATTTATTCGAATCATTTGATTTGATTACCCACGCTATGGAATCACGTTATGATGTTGTAGTTTTGCTTGACTTTGCCAAACATTTGATAAAGTTAATCACTCGCTACTTAAAAAAGTTTGTACGTGTGGTTTTGACAAATATATCTGCCAGTGGATAAATGCACTTCAATCCAATCAAAAACAACGAGTTATTATAGAAAATTCAGAATTCGACTGGTTAAACGCCCTCAGTGGTATACCTCAGGGTTCATGTATTAGACCATTACTATTCCTCATTTTTTTAATGATATGCCTCGTCTACTCAATCACCATTGCAAACTTTATGCTGACGACACCAAAATTATTGCAAATATGAAAAAAAAAGAACCCTCTGACCTGCAGCGACTACATAGCGACATCGATAGATTAGTTGACTGTAATGATAATTGGTCAATGAGCTTTAATCTAAAAAAATGCAATTATATGATTTTTAACAAGCATCGTCGCACACAACAATTAAACAACTAAACTTTTGTTAATAATAAATTTAATGATCCCTGTTTCCAAATAACAATGACTGAAAAATCTGGCTTGTCTCACATTCTTAAAAAGACCATCTCTGAACTTGATCTTGGTGTTGTTGTTCACAATCGGTTTTTGTGGAACAATCAAGTAGCAAGAACTGTTCTTGGAGTTCTAGGACGCATTTTCAAATATTGGACTCTTGAAATGATCTGTGTCTTTAGCAAATCTTATGTAAGGCCGAATTCGGAGAATTGCTCAGCAGCATGAGCACCCTTTTTAATTGAATATATAAAAGCTCTTGAAGCTGTTCAAAATCGAGCCACAAAACTTGTCCATAATCTGCAAACCATGAAAGTCAAGCAACGTTGCTTAGCTAGTAGTATCCAATCACTTGAAAATCGAAGACGCCGAAGTGATCTTATACAATACTTTAAGATTTACCACGGCATAAGTAAAGTTAAATCACCATCTCCTGCTCCTGCACTTGCGCATCTTGAACCAGCCGGTTCAAGATGCGCAATGGTTACATTAAAAACTTTTTTATGTCAAATGCTCTTGACAATAAACTTTTGTTGAGTGTTTCTTGACTTAGAGAAAGCCTTTGATTCTGTTGACCACTCCATCCTCTTAAGTAAATTAGAACATAAGGGTATTCGAGGTAATACTCTGCAATGGTTTTCATCATATCTTTTTAATAGATCGCAGTTTGTCTCCATCAATGATGCCAAATCTTTTCCAACAAAATGCTTCACGGGTGTAACCTAAGGTTCTGTATTTGAACCATTGCTTTTCTTTATTTTTATAAAAGATCTTAATATCTCTCTGAAATTTTCAACGGCTTACCATTTTGCTGACAACACCAACTTACACATAACAAACAACTAATTAAAAAAAATTAACAAACATATTAATCATGATTTATCTAACCTTCTTAAATAGCTGCGGTCTCACAAAATAAGTCTTAATACCAACAAAACTGAACTCATTATTTTAAATCAAATCAATCTAAAATGTATAAAAACCGGAACTTTAGACTAAGTGGACAAAAAATCTTTCCCGTAGTTTCATTAAAATATCTTGGAATCCAAGTTGATTCAGATCTATCTTTTTCCTCTTATCTTAAAAACTTAAAATGAGCAGTAAAATTGTGTAGATCAAAAGGGATGGTAGCCAAAATTCGCCACTATGTCAAATATGAAACTCTACTTAATATATACCATGCAATTCTCGGATCGCATCTTAGATACGCTTTTCAGGTTTGGGGACAATGCATGTCTAATGCTTTTTTAAGGTTATGTAACCTACAAAACAAAGCTTTAAAAATAAAATTCTTTCAACATTATCATTCTAACTCTAACATCCTTTACTTTCTATCAAAAATATTCAAATTATGTGATCTTGTTTATTTATTAAATTGTCTATTTGTCTGGAATCATAAACAAGTAAACCTCCCTCCGTCATTCTCCAATTTTTTTACCACTAAAAAAAGTTCTCGTTATTACATTCAATCGTTGAGTAACTTTAAATTATCTATCCCAAATCGCTGTTTGGTGAAATGCGGTGATAATAATATTAAAAACCAATGCGTAAACTCGTGGAACAATTTACCTTAAATGAAATATAACATCCGTTATATTTCATTTTCAATCCCTCAACTCTTTTTTTTTTCTCTATTTATTTAACCATAAATAATGAAAATTTACAATGATAAATTATAAATTTACATAAATATGGTTAGGTGTCACTCATATAGTTGAAAACTAGTCAATGAAGTGACAACTAAAAAAAAAAAAAAAAAAAGGAAAGAAAGATAAGCAACAATAACAATAAAGAAGATTTAAAAAAAAAAGAAAAAAATAAAAGAATGTTAAAAGTTAAAAGTAAAAATGTTTATAAAATTAGAAATAGTAACAATAATATGAATAAAAATAATATAAAAAATAATAACTGTAATATAATAACGTAAAAAGAATTATAAATGATAAAGCAATAATAAGATAATTATAGTATAGTTAATATTTATAAAATAAACAATTTAAAGAATAGCTATAACAATAATGATAAAGCTACTGCAACTACTGAACTACTTTGACTATCATTATAGGTAATAATATTAAGGCAACAAAAACAAATATATATAAATAATAATAGCAATAATAATAATAAAAATAGTAGTAGTAACAATGTAAAGAATATTAATAACAATAAAAAAAATAAAAATAAGTCTAATTTATTAAATAATATATTGAAGGAATAATAACAAAAGATAGCATTAATATTCTTTAGATATTTGCTCACATAAAAATTTCTTAATTAGGTTTCTGTTGAGAAGAAGAAAGTTTGTAACAAAAGGGTATTTAGTTAAAATCTTTTTTTTTTTATAAAAGGTATTAATTGGTTCCAGTGAGAAATACATTGATGTTTTATGGAGAGCTTGCCATGCTTGACAGTATTAAAAAAAGAAGGGTGCAAATTACCATTTATAGTAATACGAGTATAGTATTGTGTACCATTTATAGTAATACGAGTATAGTATGTGTACTACTTGCTTTAATGAAAAAGTTGTTAAACGAACCCGGCAGATTATTTTGGAGGAAATCAAACACAAAAAGAGAGTTGTAAAGCTTTATAAGATCTTAAAATTGTAAGATTTATAATTCAGAAAACCTTTTATGGATATTAGATTGAATAGGAGAAAATGTCATAATTCTTATGGAAGCACATTGCAAACTGTTTATACGATCTAATAGAAAACTTCCTTGTTGCCCCTAAACAACGCAACAATAGCTTAGATGGGATGAGAACATGGAATAGTAAATTGATACTAGAGTTTGTTTAGAAGTAAATTCCATAATTATGTAGTTTTGTTCAAAAAAACTACATAATTATGGAACTTAAAAAATGATTTACAAAATGCAACTTTGAATGTAACTATCTGTAAGTTCAAAAATAAGGAAATCCCAGACTGTTTGACATGGCTCACAGTCTCTTTATCATCTACATCCAATAAAAATTTGAGTCATTGTAGAACCATTTAGTAATAGCTGGCACCTAGCAAATGATCTAGTTACATAAAGACAGAGATAAAAGTACTTTGCAAAAAGCTTGTAATAGATGGTATATTAATGCTGAAGTTTAGAAATCCTGATATACAAGATTTTTAGGAAAAACAACTCATCGTTCAAGTTATGAATGTGCACATTATTATTATTATTATTATTATCATTATTAAATGCTACTTTCAAAAAATATCGTGGTAAAATCAGCAAAAAACTAAAAATTAAAGCAACTAAAAGTAAAATGTTAAAGAATAAATACATTAACACACTTTTTAACTAAGTTAAAATCCTTAAAAGAAGCTCTAAAGTATTAAATATTAGAAATGTATGTTATAAAAGGGAGTATTAAATAATAAATTAAAGTTTATATTTAATAAAGAGTTTTAATGAGTTTTTTACACAAATAGTATTGATCAAATTGAAGTTGGAAGTTTATTGTATAATTTTATAAAATAAAATCTTTTCCTAACCACTTCCAATTTAACTTTTGGGAACTTTATCAAACTTTGTTTCTAGCGTTAACATTATGCAAATTTATGATAAAGTGCTTATTAATATTAGAAAAAGTCAATTTATCAATGTATTGTCTAGTTATTAAGCAAGAACTTGTTTTTATTCAGTTTAAAATAGATGATTGATGTTTTGCGCAAACTTTTCCTTCATTAGTGATGTTGTTTGCCCTTTCAATTTTAAAGAACAATGGTAATGTATTTGAAAAAATTACTTTGCAAGTATATATATATATATATATATATATATATATATATATATATATATATATATATATATATATATATATATATATATATATATATATATATATATATATATATATATATATATTATTACTTTACCGTACTAACCGATCCAATAGATAAACCGACTCATACTATTAATAAGCAATTATTCTCTAAAGGAAACTATAATAAAATTAATAAAGATCTATCAACCTTAGTGTTAAATCAAAACTATAATTCAGAACAACTTTGGGATACATTCTACACAAACCTTAAAAACACTATTAAAAAAAATGTTCCAAAATCCTCAACAAAACCTAAAAAGCGTTCACAATGGATAACCGCCCAAGTAGCAGAAGAAATAAGAAATAAACAAATTAAATATCAAGACTACATTCATAAACGGAATGGTAAAACTTACTTTGACTATTGTCGAGCGCGTAACAGAACTAAAGCAGCTTGCAGAAATGCTATAATAAATTTTGAAAAAGAAATTGCTAAAAACATCAACAAAAATCCTAAAGCTTTTTTTTCATACATAAAATCAAAAAATCTTATAAAAAATCTCATTCCTGAAATAGTCCACAATAAGATAGTTGCTACCACCGATCTTGAAAAGGCTCAATGCTTCAATAATTACTTTGCTAGTAATTTTTCTGATAATGATACATTGATTGTTCCAAGTTTTAACTTATTTTCTATTTGTCCCAGTCAAATCTCTAATAATCTTGATCTATCTCCCGAAAACATTGCATCTCATCTTCTGTCTATAAAGTCATTTAAATCACCGGGTCCAGATGAGATACATCCCAAAATATTAAAAGAAACCCATCACCAAATCTCTAAACATCTTCTATTATTTATACTAAGGTACTTCAAACTAGTACATTACCACAAATCTGGAAAGATGCAAATATCATTCCAATTTTCAAAAAAGGAGACAAGAAACTAGTTACCAACTATAGACCCATTAGTTTAACATGCACTATAGTCAAAATATTTGAAAAAATAATACAAAAACATATTTTTATTCATCTTTTAAAAAATAATCTACTAACTCCTAGTCAACACGGTTTTTATCCAGGGCGCTCTTGTGAAACAAATCTTCTTACTGTAATCAATACATGGACACTTAATTTAGATAAAGGTCTTCCCGTCGATAATATTTACCTTGACTTTGAAAAAGCATTTGACAAAGTCCCACACGACTATCTTCTTTTGAAACTAAAAGCCTATAGGATTAATGGTCCAATTCTCTCTTGGATAAGAAACTTTCTCACAAATCGAAGACAAAGAGTAATAATAAATGGTAATTACTCTGATTGGGTATCAGTAAAAAGTGGAGTTCCCCAAGGTTCTGTTCTCTCAGCTCTATTATTCATTATATACGTTAACGATATTCCCAATATAATTACTTTAAATGCAGCACTTTTTGCTGACGATACAAAAATATTTTACCCTATTACTAATTTGCATTCACACACCGTACTTCAAAATGATATTGATATCTTGGTTGACTGGGCAACTAAATGGGGGATGAAATTTAATATAGAAAAATGTTCAGTTTTACACCTAGGTCATAAAAATAAACATCTTGTCTATTCTATGTACGATCCAGTAAAGAAAACAAGGATTGATATCAAATCTACCAACTCAAAAACTGACCTCGGAGTACATATCGATAATAACTTGCTATTTTCTAAACATACCTCTACTCAAGTTAATAGGGCAATGCAGATGCTATTTCTAATAAAAAGATCTTTCTCTTATCTAAATTCATTTTGTTTTAAAAGACTGTTTTCAGCACTAGTACGACCATATTTAGAATATTATGGTTCTGTATATAACCCTCGTCTACTGAAAGACAAACGACAAGTTGAAAATATACTCAGAAGAGCATCTAAATCAGTTCATGGATTAAAAAGTCTAACATATCACCAAAGACTATTGAAACTTAATATGACAACCATAAGATACAGACTAATCCGGGCTGATTTAATAAACGTCTATAAATGGCTAAACAACTACTACAACTGTCAAACGATCTTTCCAAAAACAATTATAAATTCTATTACAAGAGGACATTCATTTAAACTAGAAAAACCTTATTCTCGTCAATACTTTTTCACCTTACGAGTAATCAACAAATGGAACTCCCTCCCAGATGACGTTGTAAATGCTACTTCCGTAAGCAATTTTAAAAACAAACTCGACAATTATCTAAAAGAAGAAAAAACAATTTATGACTAGTATATTTATATAGTAATCATAAGACAGGTTGACAGGCATTTCATGCCTATACAAATCCAATTTGTAAACCTTAATAATAATAATAATAATAATAATAATAATAATAATATATACATACATATACATCCATAAAGGACGTCATCCAAATAGGAGGGGGGGGGGGCAGGGGTTCTAATTAAAAAGGACAAGGGGAGAGGGAGATTGTCAGAAAAGGACGTCACTTTTTAGATTTTTTATTTTAGTTTAATTAACATGGAAAACTACGTAAACATGTGTTTTTAAGAAGATAATGTATGAGAATACTTTTAGTTTTATTTTTCAAAAGGTGTAGCAGCGATTCAAACATCATTGCAAGATGAAATAAATTTTTTGGGTTCAAAATGGGAGGGGGGGGGGTAATTTTATGGATTTTATGACACCCTTTTCAAGAGGGGTTTAGGGAAAAAGGCTAACCGTTGACAAAGGAGGGGTGGGGGTGGGGGAATGGGGGTCAAAAATTAGCTAAAATATAGTCCGTTATGAATGGCCCTTAGTGTCCTGGAAAGTCCTGCAATTTTTCATTTTTCTTAAAAATCATTGTAAAGTACTGGAATTTTTTAAAAAATATTCTTCAAAAAAAAAAAAAATCGTTTTTTATTTAAGTAAAATTGGTTTCATAATTAAAATTTTAAACTAGGAGACTTGAAATTTTTTTTACTTTATTTCGAATGAAAATTTTTTTTTTAGCTAAAGTCGCCGAATTTTAGCTGAGTTTTTTTTTAGCTAAAATCCCGGAAAGTCCTTTAATCTTTTCTTTTTTTGGGAAATATTTTAAAAAGTCGTGGAATTTTTTGTCAAATATCCTGGAAAAATTAGACAATGTTCCTGGAATTCTGATATTTTTTTATCTGTTAGAACCCTGCAGAAGCCACAATAAAAATTAATTAAAGGTTAAATTAAATAAGTGGAACCTCTTCACATAAAATTCATTATACATGAAAATAAAGTCATTTTCAATAACATTGTAGTCGAGGTCGGATTTTTGGGGTAAGGGGGCAAATACGCCTTTTTAGATATATTGGATTGTTTTCCGTAAATTTATATATTTAATAGAGCACGTTGTAGGAAAAGACTATGGAATTACGTAAGCTAATCCAGTTTTTTCTATTCTATTAATATTCTAATTTAACATCGAATTGCTTATATAATAAATTACACATTGGATAATTGATGCTTTGTTTATTATAAGTATGTGTATCATATGTATAAACATTATCATACTACACTCTTACGAAAATTGGTTTTTCATTGATTATCTAGAAAATCGATCGGTTTCACAGAAAACCCAAAGGTTTTATGGCGTATCCAAAAAATGATTTGGTTTTTTGCAAGAGAAACAAAAATAAATTGGTTTTCCAACAATTCATATTTGAAAAACTATTGGTATTTTAGAAAATAAATGCGTGGGTTTTAATTTATTTTGGTTTTCCAAATATTCATCTATTATCTTTAAATTTGATTGGTTGTTTACTTGCAGCCTCCATATTAGTTTTAAACAAGCGCGCTATTTAATAACTGTCATTTATTCGTTACTTATAAAATTGGAATTGCTGTTATCTATTTTAAATTTTACTCTCTAAGAAGTCGTTCAATTATTTTATTAAACTAATGGCATCAAATATCTTTTTACCTGTTAGTATTTGTTATATCTATTTAAAATATATCTCTAATGTTTTTATTTCCAAAGTTATTGCTTAGCATTACTATTAGTAATGCTAAGCAATAACTTTGAATATATGAATTTGCTATATAAAATTATTGCTTATTGCTAAGCCTTAGTAAATCCCGAGGCTTAGCAATAAGCAATAATTTTATATACCAAATATATTGTTATAAGTAATATATTACATATACTAATATATTAATATATACGATATATTGCTAATAGCAATATGTCGTATATATTGCTTATAACAATATATAGTATATGGTCGCTAAGCTATAATTTTAAAAAAGTATTAGCAATATTATTACTACTAATTATGCATATTTAATAATAATAATACCATTACTGTAACTATAACTAATATATATAGTATAACTTTTTTTATCATATGATATTTCATTATGATTACAATTTTTATACTATAACTATTAGTAATAGTTATAGTAACTTTAACTATTAGTTGATAGTAATTTTAATAATATAACTATATATATATATATATATATATATATATATATATATATATATATATATATATATATATATATATATATATATATATATATATATATATATATATGTAAATGTATAATATAACTATTAATATAATGATATGAATATCCCATATGATAATATTATGTTTTGCTAAGCAATGATTTCCTAGTTTCCTAATATTTTGCTAATTCTAGTGAGTTCGCCACCTGGGATGAAGAAAATAGGAACAAAGAAATTCAATTCAAAAATTACAAAAAATTTTAAAGAAATTAAACTACTTTAGTGTTTGATGATATAGTCAACATATAAATAGTATATATATATATATATATATATATATATATATATATATATATATATATATATATATATATATATATATATATATATATATATATATATATATATATATATATATATATATATACATACATATATATATATATATATATATATATATATATATATATATATATATATATATATATATTTTTTTTTTTTCTTTAAATATTAATTTTCATATATAAGTTATAATTTTTGTCCTAATTTTCTCCTATAAAAATTAAAAGTCAGAATAAAATTTAGTTTTTTAAATATTTTTTAGGCAAACGTTAAACAATGGGATTTATTGGATTGTTGCAGTTGGCTAGATTCCATCGGATTAACTAATTATATAGATGCTTTTAAAGGTATTCTATAATTTGTTTAAATCATATTTGTGACATGGAAAATACATTTTTTTGCTCTATTTGCCACCTAACAACCATTTCCCTTTCTAAGTTGCTGAGACATTTAACGGTTTTCCACAGCCATGATTTTAACTTTAATGTAGAATGCTGTTATACAAGTTGCAAAAAAACATTTTATAAAATAAATAGTTTTCGTAAGCATGTTTACCGTTATCATAAGAATTATGGTTTAAAACAAAAAGGTAATGACCATCATGTGTCTGTGGTTGGTAAAGAAGAATTAATTTTTAGTTGTGACACTTCTAAAGTAGTAGTTGATAGTTACTCTCTTTTTTTAAAGATTGTGTCTGAATTAAAATATTGTGTTGGATTAATGTTTCTGAAATTGCGAGAAAAACATGTAGTTTCCAGCCAAGTTCACATTGAATTTGTATCTGATTTTAAAGAACTGTTTCAAACCTTTTTGACATCATACAACAATGTCATTGAGAAGTGCTTACCAATGCCGATAGATGCTACATTTAAAAGTATTTTAGATAGTGACCTTCTGTGTGATGTCTTTTCACATTTTATGAATGAATATCAACTTGTTAAGTTTTGTAAAAATACTCTTTCTATGGTTGAGCCAATAGAAGTTAAGATTATTGATACAAATAAAAAAGTTCATAAATTCCACTATATAAGCTTGAAACGTTATCTTGAAAAAATACTTTCAAACGAAGAGGTTTTCAATGAATTTGGTAGTTATTTAAATAAAGTAACAATTTCAGACACTAATAAAGACAATTTAAGTGATTTTCATGATGGAGAAATTTTTAAAAAACATCCTTTGTTTTCCACTGACCCAACTGTAATTCGTATTCATTTGTTTATAGATGAGTTTGAATCTGTTAATCCTCTAGGCTCCAAGAGAGGCAAACATAAAATTATTGGTATTTATTACACTATTGGAAATTTGCATCCACGCTATCGCTCTCAAATGTCTCAAGTTCATTTAGCTGCATTGGTTCGTTCTAATATTTTGAAAAAAACTTCTTATTCTGAAATTATGAAACCATTAATTGATGAACTTATAGAGTTGAGTAATAATGGGATTATTTTAAAAACTAACAGTATGACTCATTCACTTAAAGTAAGTCTTGCAACAGTTTCAGCTGACAACTTAGGTGCTCATGCACTAGCAGGTTTTCGCTGCTGTTTTAGTTCAGGTAGGGTTTGTCGAACCTGTCTAGTTCATTTTGAAACAATAAGGCTAAAACAATATCACATTGACTGTTATTTAAGAACAGATCACAACTACAATCAACAGTTGAATGCAATAAATAAATTTCCTGTTAACAAATCTGTTTATGGAATAAATCAATCGTGCTGCTTGAATAATCTACCATTTTTTAATGTTTTAGAAAGTTTTCCACCTGACATCCACCATGATTTCTTAGAAGGAATAGTTCCTATGGTTTTAAAATTAGTCATCCAAAAATTGATATCACATAACATTATTTCTCTTAAACAACTTAATTATGAAATATGTAATTTTTCATTTGGGTTTAATGATAAAAAAAGTAAACCAGTGCCTCTAAGTGCATCAGTTTTGTCTAAGAAGGGTCGTATAATTGGAAAAGCATCTGAATTGTGGTGTTTTTTTAGATGTCTGCCAATTATAATATTTGGTTACATATCTAGTTTTAATGATGACTGTCCAGCCTACTGGTTGGTATATCTTGAACTAAGAAATATAGCTGATATCATATTTTCACCAGTTATTAAAAGAGATTCTCTTGGATATTTAGCTTATATGATTGCATCATTTGTTAATTCTTTTGTGGATATATGGCCTGGAAATTTTATTCCTAAAATGCACTACATGGTGCATTATCCTAGACAAATTGAACTATTTGGACCTTTGCGACATTTATGGTGCATGCGATTTGAAGCCAAGCACAACTACTTTAAGTGTCTTTCTCGTGTTGTTTCTAATTTTAAAAACATCACTTATACATTGTCTAAGCGCCATCAAATGCGCCAGTGTTGTGAATTAAATTCAGTTGATTTTATGAAAATTGAGCAGCACAATCAAAGAAATGGTATTATTATATCATTAACTTCATTACCTGAAGGTCTTCAAGTAGAACTTACACATAACTTTTTACTTGATCAAAACACTCAGTTGTGGAAAGTTACAAATGTTTCAGTGAATCATTGTTCCTACCAAACTGGTGACTTTATTGTTCTTAACATTCTAGATGATGGTACTCCTATTTTTATGTCACTCAAGTATATCCTTAAAATTAATGGTTTATGGTTCTTGTGTGGTAAACTGTGTTCTTGTGAAAAATTTCTTTTTTATTTACATGCTTATAATCTAATTGAAATATCTTCTTGGGTTGTTATTCTTTCTGGACAAGAAGTATCACATGAACCTTTAGATGGATATTTAATGTCTGATGGACAACTTTTAGTTACTTTACGTAGTTTAGCAACAAAATAATATAACATTTGTATATATTTTAGTTGTTAGTTTAACTGATTAAAACTCAACAAAAAAAAATCATTTTTTTAGATTTTCACTAATTTCAATTAATTTTGTTTTATTTGATTTTCTTATAAAATAACTTGGTACAAGAATTGGTACAATATAACACATTTTACTAATTCTTCTATTTTATAATAAAAATATAATAGAATAGCAGAAATATAATAATGTACCTTGATACATACTTAGTAATATTGAACATATGTTAAACATTTTTGCATATTCTTCAAACCTTTCATTTCAATTTAAACAGTTTAACATTCATTCAAAAGATCATGTTTTTTTTGATATTATAATATTGTTATACAGGAGAAGATATTGATGGTTCGGTTATTAACGAAATAGATGATTTTATGTTAAAGGAACTAATTCCTCCAATTAAAGACAGAATTATTTTTAAGAAAGAATGCATCAAATTGCATCAAAGAATGTTATATGTGTAAGGTCTTCATCACCTACGTTAAACTCATGTAATGTAAGTTTTACATTATCACCTGTTTGTGACAATAACGAGGCACCAACTATTTCTGAATCTTTGTAAGTTATGTTTTGTTTGTTTGTAAACATTTATAACTTAGTTTATTTTCTTTTAAATTTTATCTTATTTAAAATGTTATATTATTAAACAAAAAAAATAATAATTAAATTGATACAATATATTTAGCCAAGATTGTGTGCACGCATTTTACACTATTAGGACTGTATAATATAAAAAGTTGTTTCATAATTCATGTCTTGAATTTATTTTTTAGTATTCAGTTGGATAAACTAACATTGCCCCCTATTCTCCTTGCTGCTGTGGAAAGAAAAGAAATAGACTTTAGTATTCCAAAAAGGTCAAAACTAAAGGAGTATGTTATGGATTTTCTTTTTGATGTCATGAAGCAACAGTATGGGTTGTAAGTATTTTGATTACTGTGTAAATTATAATTTAAAATAGTATAATTTTTTAATTTTTAAAGTAAACATTTATTATCAGTATCAAAGTTAGTAAAATAATGATATTTTATATTTCTTAACATAGCTGTCAATAATGATAAAATATGTTATTGCTTTTCACTAAAATAAATGCTTTATAGATTTCCAAGTACAAGTAACTTCTATGAAATAGGAAATGAGCTTTTCCTAAGGTATCCTTCTCTAAAACCTCGTCATTGCAATGGCTCTGTGAGTATTTAACTGTATAATTAAAACTAATAATATCAATGGTGTTACAAAGTTATATAGCTAAAGAAGTTTTTTTTTTTATTCTATTGTCAGGAACTTCTTGTGCATTTGTTGAAGGCAAAATTTAAGCGAGTTAGACGTCCTCTTCTAAATGATGAGCAAGTTGCACAGTTTAAAATAAAGTACTCTAGAATTAATTCTGGTCGTAAGCGAAATTCTGTCTTGCTGAATGAGTCTGTTAATCTTTGCTCAGCAAAACGTCACTGCCATCATTCAAGTGATAAGGTAAGCACAATTTCACAGCATTTATAATACATATTTATGTGAGAAAATGCATAGTGTATTTGATTTGATAGTGTAAAAAAAATTAGTTACATATTTTAATTATTATATAATAGAATGTGGATGATGGTATAACTCAAGATATTATAAAAAGCATGAAGAATGAATGTCAGAAACTGCGCCCAGATATAGAATTTTTGGCTCACCAGATTATCTTGTCTATTGAGGCATTAAAATATACATGCCGAAATGAAAGAACTTTGGATGTCCTTAATAAATTCCCAGCACTTTACTATGAAAAAGTTGTAAGTGGTTTATGTAGAGTTTTTATTGTATCTATATTGCTCTTTTAATGTTGTCTTTAAACTGCAGCATTCCTGAATATGAGCAATAAGTCGCCCATTTAATGTACTTGATAGTGGCTTAATGCAATAACTTAAATAACAATTTTTCAGTTGTTTTATTACTTTTATAAGGAAATTTACTTTCAATAAACATAAACTATATATAAAAATACATAACAAAATTAAAATTATAAAACTAAATAAAGTAGGGTTTGTACTGTACGTGGAAAACCTGGAAAATTTGTTAATTTTGGCTAAAGTCATGGAAAACCTGGAAAAGTCAGGGTTTTTTTTTTCTTCTTTAGATTTAAAAAGTCAGAGAATTCAGATTAAGTTACCCGTTTTACAATTCAGCTATTATGTTTTTGTTGATGCTACCTTTTTACTTTTTTTGAAATTTTGTTTTTCTTAGTGTTTTAGTAAATTTTGTTTTTCATCCTTAATAATAAGATCCATACTAATATCCAACTTAACTAATAGCTAAGTTTTATAAGTTTTGTCATTTAAAGCATGTACAATTTTAGCATTTCGATTACATTACATTAGATAGTAGTTTCAAACATTTTACAAAAACTATTGTTGAAAATAGTCAGGGAAATGTGTCTGATTTTTCAAAAAAGTTAGGAAAACTTCATAGAATTTTATATAAATATTTGGCTACGAATTCTGTAAGACAATTAGTTGCATCTTTAAAGATATATTTACTGCCTTGGCGTGGGAAGTTCAAAATTAATTTTTCTGTGTTTATTAAACATTTTTATTGTCTGTGTTGTTTTTTTAAAAGTCTGCAAATATTATTTTTGGTTAGCTAAATAACATATGCTGCTCCAGAGTACCACTTACCAAATTTTTTAGAAAAGTCCTTGTAATATTAGGGTGGAATTCAAGGATATTTTTTTATTTAATGGCGTAGTGAAGTCGTTTTCTTTGTTTTATTTTTAGCTTTTTGCAGCAGCAAGAGTTATTACAAATACAGATATTGACAATAACTGCTTGTTATTATTGGGTAGAATGAAGGAGGGAATGAAGAAGTTAATAGATTTAAAAAAACCTTTGTCAGCTAGATGGCAAACATTATGCAATGGGGTACTTGATGAGATTAGTGATGGTAATAATTGTTAATTTAACATGAAAATTATTTAATTACTACTCTAATTTTGTAATTTTTATTTCATTTTTCTATTTTTAGCAACAATAAAAAACCTTCATTGTTTAATTCTTCCAAGCATTTTTTGTGACGAAGAAGCACTTTTGTTCACCATGGCGCTAGTAAATTTTATTGATCGTTTAAATGATTGTATATCATTATATCATCGATTCGTTTAAATGATTGTATATCATTATATCATATAAGTCATTTTAATATTCCTTTATTTGAATAAAAATTGATGGAAAAAATTATTCAGTTCAATTTTTATTACTTAAAAACTCAATGCTTATTTTAATGCAATATTTATTTTAATATTTTTAACATTTATACATTTTTATTCTAATTATTTGCATATATATTATTTATATGATTATTTATTTAAATATACTAATAAAGTTAACTAATGCAATTTTTAATATTTATTAATTATATGCTTCTTTTTATTAGGATCCAATCTATCCAACCCCTGCTCTGAAAATTGAAGGAGATGCTATAAATCCAACACGAATAAGTCTTGTAGTTGACGGGCTGACACTAAGCAATTCTGTTCCTGATGTAACTTGTGGTTTGGGTCTCGTCATCTGCTCATATTATATTTTTGATATTGCGTATCCAAAGAAATTACAAAAAACCCTGTCTTTTCTAGAACATTACGTTTTTGAACGAAGGAGTAAACTTCCTGCCAACATTCAAAACATTGCTAGTTTTTTGAACTTATAATATTAAATTATAAAACTTAATAACATTAATGTTATTAATTTGTTTCAAAATCTTTATTTAAATCAAGTTTATTTTTTTGAACTCTCCAATTTTTAGTTGTTTTATATATATATATATATATATATATATATATATATATATATATATATATATATATATATATATATATATATATATATATATATATATATATATATATATATATATATATATATATAAATAGATTTGAAAAGCGTATATAAATATGGTAAAAAATTAATAAACTTCATCTTTTGTAATAAATTGTAATTTCTGGCCGATTATTTCTATTCTATGAAACAAAACTCATGGAGCTAAGTTTAGTAAAATAATCATAAATGTTTCGTTTTAAAAGTTATGACATAACTTTAATTAAATCGTTATTGCTGGAAAACCAGTTTTTGGTTTTACGGCTTGTCCCAATAAACGAACCAATTTTGATTATCCAGAAAACCAAAAAGCGTCGGTTTTCTAGAAAACCAATTTAGTTTGATTTTCTGGATATTCAAATTGGTTTTCTAGAAATCCAAATTACTTTGGTTTTCTGAAAAACCGAAATAAATTGGTTTTCTAGATATTCAAATTTGGTTCGTTTATTGGGACAAGCTGTAAAACCAAATTTGGTTTTTTGAAAAACCGATTTTTTTAAGAGTGTAACTTCAAGTTAAACTTTGTTTTTTCAAGTTTAAATTTATTTTAAGATTAAAGTAGTTGTAGACAGTTCTTGCTTGATAATAGTAAAATGAATTTCTAAAAGCATTTCTTATATGCTAACTGTTAATATAATATAACTGTTTAAAGTGTATATTTAGACAAAGTACTGCTAAACAAATTTAAATGATATTTTGAAAGACTGTTGATAAAAATATCTATAACATATTAATAATTTACATAATAAAAACAGAACATGTATTGCTCTTATCGTTTGATATAATGCTTCAGATTTGTTTTTTGAAATGAAAATAAACTGCAGTAAATTAGGGGGCAAAAAATCATTAGATTTAAAATTTATTCGTCCGCAGAATGCAGATTGACCAGAAATGTTTCTCGCAGAGATTGCAGATACACCAAAATTGTTTTTTGCGGAGATTGAAGATAGTCCAAAAATGTTTTTCTCGGAGATTGCAGACCAAAAATATTTTTCGCGGAGATTGCAGATACACCGATTTTCCGCAACTAGGGAGGGGGTGTTTAGGGTGGCTGTCACCCTCTTTTTTAAAAAAATGGGCCAATCTTTCTGTATTTTTAAACACTTTTACTTTATTCTTATAAGTTGCTAAGTTTACCATGAATCAAAAAAGAAAAGGTGGGGCTGAGAAGGAACGAATTAAAAAAATTAAAAAATTATCAACTTCTGCAAAAGAATGCGTGAAGTTGACATCTTATTTTTACAAAAAAGTTATACGCAAAACGAAAACATGAGAGGTCTTCAATAGAACTCGTACAACAACAACCACAGGTTTTTCATGAGAATATGCTAACATCTTTTAAAAAAAATATTTTCTCTGACATATTTGCAGAAAATTCTGGCCGACTTATCGTCTTTTACTGAGACCAGTGATCATCAAAACGACGTTAAAATAGTTAAAGAATACTCAAAAATAATGTCAGGTGTGGA